TTTTCGCTGATTTTTATCTCAATTAATGTATTTTTTAATGAAAATATGACAATACTATACGGATAACGCGTGACTAACAAATCTGACAAATAACTACTCAATTAATAACAACTCATGTTTTTTCTTATTTTCTGGTTAATCACCAAAAGAATAAAACAATTTTCTCTATCAGTGTTTGCCTTCGTTTCTGTCCATCAAATTAATAAGAGATTTAATTTCTTTCCCATAAATCCTTCGCTGAATCCCAAACTTCTTTGGGTAAAAAAATAAGAGCCAAATAATAATCAAAACCACTTTAAACTGGATATATAGAGAGGGACTCACACTTTCTGTCATTAAATCAGTCAAATACTGGTCTATCATTCGCTGACTGCGTGTACACACCGTTTCGCACATCACCGCTGATGTGATGCCCCGCTCTCTCACTGCTCCCCCCTCTCTCTCTCCCTCTTTCACTGCCTCTCTCTTTGGCTGTTATCTGAGAGTTGTTTTGACCCATTTTTATCTCATCTTCTCATTACAATACGTGATCACAATTAATCAACACATAAACGGGTGTTACTAAGGCTGTCGACCAATCATTGATTTTTTATACGATACATGCCTTCTATAAATAGAGGGCTCGACATCTCATCCATTACTTCGATTCAATTCACGTTTTTCTCATACAATTAAATATTAGACAACGATTTCCAACTGTACTCTCGATTGCCATCATATTTATGATCAACGCGTTTCATATGGACTCCGAAAGCATTCAATTTGACGCTAAAGTCAACGCTTTGGAAAAACTACCCAAAGATGAGACTTTGAAACTTAGAGAGCAACACATCGGGTATGACATGATTTCATCATTAACTTACAGTATTACTTATTGTAATATTCAATTGATTGGTTCATTCAACCTATCAAAAAGGCACTTTGTAATCCTTATTAATTTTAATTAATTGCTTTGTAATATTTTTTAAATCTAAATATTTTGTACTTTAAATTCTTTTTTTTAAAGTTTTTAATGCAAAGATTTAAACAAAATTTTGAGCAAAATATTTATCGTAAATTCTTTAGTCGTTGCGTTTTATTGTGAAAATTTCCAAAACTTTATTGTATTTGCTTTTAAAGCTTGCGATAAGTTCTTATATACTGTATTTTGAATCTTATCTCAAAGTGCAGTATTATTTAGAAGATTACTATACAATGAGAAGTGAAATTCAAGTGAAATACAAAATTTTATCACAAGAATATTGAAATAAGAGATTTACATTTTCTTCAATACTGTACTATTGATGGCAATAATGACAATCATATGTCTAAATCTAAATCATATATTAATGTTAATATAGGGGTTCGGTTACACTGTTTTTCAAACAAAGTCCACTCAAGATTGTGAGAGGAAAGGGACAGTATATGTACGATGAAGAGGGCAACGAATACTTGGACTGTATCAACAATGTGGCACATGTGGGCCATTGCCACCCGCATGTCGTCAAAGCGGGTGCCGATCAGATGTCACTCATATCAACCAATAGTCGCTTCCTTCACGACAATCTCGTTATGTATGCCAAACGATTGACCGCTTATTTCCCGAAAGAGCTCTCTGTTTGTTATTTCGTTAATTCCGGGTATAGTCTGAAGAGAAACACAAATAAACAAATTATTTCATAAATAAATATTATCTTTGTTTTGACAACAGATCGGAAGCAAACGATTTGGCCATTCGTTTGGCGAGAGCTCACACTAACCATAAAGATATAATCTCACTCGACGGGTATGTCTGCCAATGTCTAGACATTACAGAGTGGTAACTAATAAGTTGTTATTGTAGTGCATATCACGGACATCTCACCACAATTGTTGACATATCGTCGTATAAATTCAAAAAGATTAAGGGCTCCAAACAGAAGTCATGGGTTCATATTGTAAGTGAAGGCTTTGCGTAATCAAGAATATTCTGTGTTTAACGCAATGCTATATATACTGATGTGATTGCATGTGCCTACAGGTGCCGTTACCCTGTTCGTATAGAGGCAAATACACGACAGACAAACACCCGGAGACCCACATCGGAGCCCTCTATGCCAAAGAGGTGCAGAATCTTATAAACAATGCCCACAATTCTGGCCGAAATATCGCCGCCTTTATCGCCGAATCAATGATCAGTTGCGGCGGACAAGTAGTACTGCCCCACCATTTCCTCAAGACTGCAT